CATTTACATTCATGGGTGTGGTTTTAACTTTCCAATTAAGCATGTTAAACCTCTTAAGAAGATCAGTTGCATAATTCCTTTGTGAAACAAATATCCCATCTTTAGCTTATTTCACTTCCAGACCAAGGAAATAATGCAATAGACCTAAATCAAATATCTCAAATTCTTTCTTCATGCAAACTTTAAACTCTTCAATAAGAGAAGAAGAAGAACCCATATAAATTATGTCATCAACATATAGGCAGACAATGAGAAGATTATTCTTACCATTTTTCTTCAAATAAAGTGTGGGCTCATTCTTGCTTCTCTCAAAGCCATTTTGATGAAAATAAGAGTCAATCTTGTTGTACCATAATCGCGGGGCTTGCTTTAGGCCATAGAGAGCTTTCTTTAGCTTGTACACCTTTTCTTCTTTACCACGAGCAATGAACCCTTCCAGTTGAGTTACATAAACTTCTTCTTTCAGCTCACCATTTAAGAAGGCATACTTGACATTGAATTGGTAAACAGGCCAACTCAACTGTGCAGCCAAGGCTATAAGTGTTCTCACCGTTTCAAACCGTGCTACAGGAGAGAAAGTGTCATCGTAGTCGATACCTTGCTGCTGCGAGTATCCTTTGTCCACAAGTCGTGCTTTGTGTTTCTGAATTTCTCCATCAGAATTGTACTTCGTCCTAAACACTCATTTGACTTCAATGGTATTTTTCCCTTCAGGTAGCTCCACCAATTCCCATGTCTCATTTTTCTAAATTGCTTCAATCTCTTCTTTCATGGCACTTTGTCATTCTTCTTTGTCTGCTGCTTCTTCAAAGCTTGTAGGGTCAGATACAAACAAGGTGTGTGGTCTCGTAAATATCTATTAATGATCTGAATTTTCTTGGAGTTGTTTCATCTGAGGATGCTTGAGAAGGAGAACTTTTGCTACTTGATGAAGTGGAGGATGGTGAAGAAGAAGCTGATGAACTCGGTGTGCTTGTGGGAGTTCAATTTGCCGCTTCAGCTGGTTGACCTTCACTTCCCATCACAATTTCAATTTCTGTAGCTTCTTTATTTCTTCCCCAATTCCAGTTAGCATCTTCGTCAAACACAACATTCCTGCTTATGATCACTTTGCCACTAACAGGGTTGTATAGCTCATATGCTTTGGATTGAGAGCAATAACCAATAAAAATACACTTAACAGATTTTTCATCAAGTTTACTACGATTATGAGAGTCTACCAAAGCATAGGCAATACAACCAAAAATTTTTAAGTGGCTTACCCATGGTCTTCTACCACTCCAAGCTCCATATGGTGTTTGATTCATAACAGCCTTTGTCGATGACAAATTCAGCAAATAGACTGTCGTGGCAACTGCTTCTACCCAAAACATATCTGGAAGTTCTTTGGCTTTCAACAAACTCCTTTCCATCTCTACAACTGTACGATTCTTTCGTTCAACAACGCCATTTTGCTCCGGAGTGTAAGGTGCTATCAGCTCTCTATGCACGCCATGCTCCTCACAAAATTTGTTAAAATCGTGAGATACAAACTCTCCTCCTCTATCAGTTCGTAATGCCTTTATGCTTCTTCCATTTTGCTTTTCAACAAAAGCTTTGAATTTTTTGAAGATTCCAAATGCTTCTGATTTGTTTTGCAGAAAGTACATCCAACTCATGCAGCTGCAATCATCTGTAAACAGCAAGAAATATCGACTTCCACCAAAGGTTTCTATTTCCATAGTTCTACAAAGGTCAGCATGAACAAGCTCAAGACAATTAGATGCTCTTCTGGATTTTCCTACAGCAAATGGCTTTTTACTTTGTTTCCCATAGATACACCCTTCACACAAATCTAAAGATTCAATTTTAGGAAGCCCAAAAACCATCTCTTTTGACTCAACAACTTTAACCCCTTGACATGTAAATGCCCATACCGCAAAGGCCACATTCTAGATTCATTATTTTCTTTGACAATAAGAGCATGACTCTCTACACTAGAGATTTCATGAGGAAACAACTTATTTTTGGTCATACAAACATCAGCTATTATCTAACCCAATTTTTTATCTCTAATCACACATGGACCATCATCAAATGAGAGAGAATAACCACTATCCATCAGTTGTCCAACACTTAACAAATTATGTGACAAGCTAGGAATAAAATAGACATCAGAGAGAATTTAATTTTACCGTGACCGTTGTTAATTGCCACAGTACCTTTGCCTTCAACTTGTATCTACTTGTTGTCTCCAATTCTCACCTTCAACTTGTATGGCTCATCAAGTTCCTTGATTTGAGCAACCGCTATCCAAACACCAAATGTCAGTAGGCCATGAACAACTTCACCTCCTCTTCCTCTTCTTTCTCTACATAGTTTGCTTGTTTTTCCCTTTTCCAGCATTCAGCTTTTATATGCCTATATCTTTTGCAGTAGTGACATTGAACACCACTCTTGTTGCCTTTTTGCTTGTCATCGAACGGCCTATGTTCACCTTGCTCACCATTTCGTCCTCTACCTCTACCACGGTGTCCTCTTCCACGTCCTCTGCCCGCTGCATCTTTTGGCTCATCCTTATGGTTAAAGGACTCCCCCTTCGCATGAAATGCTTTCTCTTCACATTTTTCAACTGATTTGTTCAGTCTGGCTTCATGAGCTTGCAAAGAACCCATTAGTTCATCAGAAGAGAAATTAGACAAATCTTTTGACTCCTCCTCAATGGCAACAACTACATCAGAAACTTCTTCTCCATAGGATTTCATTTGATTAACAATGGCAAATACTCTAAAAAGGAAAACTTGTACTGATTCCCCACTTTTCATATTCAAGGTTTCAAAATCACGACGAAGGGATTGAAGTTTCATCGTGATTCGAGGAGCCTTGAAACGCCAACTGCAATGTCGTCCAAGCTTCTTTCGCTGTTGTTGTTGCTGCAATTTTGGAGAAAATTGACTCATGAACTGCTTGTTGGATGAAGAATAATGATTTAGAGTCCTTCTTCTTGTTCTCTTTCAGCCTGGCCTCTTCATCCGGATCAGGATAGCCATTTTCCACCAAGTCCCACGGATCTTGAGACCTGAACATAGTCTTCATCTTGATGCTCCAGAGTTCGTAGCATTCCCCTTTGAAGACAGGAATTTCTGGTTGAGAAATGCTCACCACATTGCCATTGGTTGCCATGACTTTTACACCCAGTTGTAAAAGAACCTGGCTCTGATACCACAAATTGTTGGAGATCGAAGTAAAAAAACAAGTAGAAACAGAACAAACTTATTTGCTGAACTTTGTAGTTAACTACTACATTTTATTTCTGAACTGAATGTGCCTATATATAGGCTTATAAATAAAAGCTAAATTGCTAAAATTTCTCAACAAATAGATTTTATTGGCACTACATCAGACCTAAATTAAACAATCAGAAAATAAAGAAGAAAATATCTCAACAAAAACCTAGCTATCAAAGAGTCACAGAGAATAAAGAGTCTCTGATCTCTTCTCTCTCTCAAATCCACAGCTCAAACTACCAACTACATGAAACCGGAAGTTGCAAGTTGAACGACAATTCTCGATCAGGTTCACGGCAACGGAGGAAGTTGCAGTGGAGCGGAAGTTACAACACCGTCTCTGCTTTATCTCAGCAGGAAGACGGTGCTTTATCTCATTCCAGCAGTTGCAACTTGCAAGTTGAACGACAATTCCTGATCAGGTACACGACGGCGGAGGAAGTTGCTTTATCTCACTCCTCTCTCTCAACTTCTCTCAATGTGAGTTGCAGGCGAGTATCCAATACCGGCCAAGGCATCTATCAAACCAGATTGAGAAACCATCATGTTTCTGTTACAGTTGCTGCTGCAACTGAAGAAGGGGTCGTTTTTGAATTGCCTGGAATATAGTTGTTTTTAAACTTATATCAGTTCAAAAGATGGTCTGTTAAGCAGTTGGCTAGTCTGTCAGTCCAGTTGTAATGGTTGTAATGCCAACCATATTAACCGCACTAATTAGAAGCTCGAGTTAGTTTTTTGGTGGATCAATCTTCTCCCTCTTTTTCTCTCTTCCCTTCTCTTCTCCCCTTTCCTCTCTTCCGTTCTCTCTTTCATTTCCTTTCCCCTGCAACTTGTTGCAACCAAGCTGTAACGGGGAAACCGAATATAGGTCGATGGCGACTGAAGGAAGATAGACAAGTTGTAGAGTTTCTGGGAAGTCTCTGCCATGGTGGCTCGGTCTGACGAGTTCTGGGGTGAGAGTGAGAGACACCATGCGCTTTTATAAGCTCAAAACCACAGACGCAGAGGCCGTGAGAGAAGGAGATGAGTGAGAAAGGTACTGTAACTCATTAAAGCAGCGCTCCTCTGTTTTCGTTTGAAGGGGGGTCATCGCCTCCGCCGCTGCAATGAACACAGCATATTGCCTTCTCACTTTCTCGCTCTCTTTCAATACCGACTTCATGGACCTGAAACTGATCGCTTTCTCGTCATTGCCACAACTGAAATCAAACCAAACGGATTCTGTTGCTTTCTTGTCATTGCCGCATTAATTCTCCGTATCAGGCTGTATATGGTAAGTTTACTCTCGTTATTAGCTTGGCGTTCATCAGATTCACCATCAACTCGACGGTGCTCATTGTTGCCATTGTTATCAAAGGGGTTTTTAAGTGCAAAAATGATAGAGATATAAGTGCTGAGATCGCCTAAGAGCCACTGAGTTCAGCATTTCTCTGTTTTTTTCTGTTTTTTTAATTTAAAAAAGAATAAAGAGTAAATTAGTTTTTTTGTCTTTCTGTTAGCATACACTAATGACAAGAGAAAAATTAATCAATTGTCAAAAATGTGTTGGTCAATTTTCAAACAATAAAGATGCACTTGATCAATAAACCTAGTTTAAGAAATTTACCCTATTATAAACAATCTAATTCTGATTACAGACTCGCAGTGGTAGGAAAGTAAGAAACCATTGCCGGTTGCCCGTCAAGGGTCTGCAAGGCGCAACTACGACGAACCATCGTTGCAGTGTGGAAAATGGAAATAAAAGCCATTTCTTTCTATTGCCTTGTTATTTGTGAGAAATTAGATGTTTCCCAAGAGCCAACCTTAACTAAAAGAACTTTTGCTTCTTTTTCATCAAATTGAGCGAAACACATAAAGCTTTTTACCTTGAATTGGACCCTCAGAAAAACAAAAAAGGAAAAAAAAAAGATTTCCCAAACTGTGCAATTCCTTCGTACATTGCAGACCAAAATAACCTTTTAGCCACCGGTTCCCCATGAAAACTTCATAGAACCTTTAGTTACGGCAGGCACAGCATGTCAGATGAGTCTTTCCTGTAAAACTGAAGCACCCGTAACTTATTGCACTTTCACTTTGGGAAAATAACAAGGGTAGAGAACTCCTACCCACAACCTTCTATCTCTTCTTTGATATCCATTCAGCTTCTTGGCTTCCCATCTCAACAACCAAAAACGGTAATGGAAAAAGAAAAAGGAAATAGAAGTACCCTTTTTCCAGAGTACAAAAAGACTGGTAATTTAAGCTTCAGATTCGGAGTCAGACGAGCTCAATCCAGAAGCAGCACCACTAAAACTGCCCACATGTGACTCAAGTGGCAAAGGGACCTTTGTTTGCTGCTGAGCACCTTGGCACAGTCTGGAGGATGGCCTCACTTTCATATACTGCAGAAACCATAAAAAAATAATGAATTAAAAACATGCAAGATGAGCAAGAGTAATTATGCAATAATGCACGTATTGCCTACAGAGAATTAGGAATTTTCACTTGGTTTATATGTATCTAAATAGGTGCCTATTACCTCTCTGTAGAAAGCACTAATCTCCTCTTCTGTAAGACCTTCCTCCTCCCCTGCATTTTCATCCCACCCAAGTGAACGAAGGAATGCAGCCTCTTCCTCATCTGGATAAACAAATGCATCAGCTGTTGAGCGTTTCTCTCCATTGTTAGAAAATCTTTGGGACTCCTCGGAGACATCACCATTGCTGACAAGATCACCCCCATTCTCAGTTGACCAGTCCAGGCCAGAGGGTTCTGATGAAGGGGCATCACTACTCTGAGGGCTAACTGGAGCAGTAGGAACCACTTCTGTAGGTTCACTTGACTTCTCTAAGAGAGATGATGATGCAGTAGGGCTGGGATCTGGGACAGCTGAAGCAAGGTTTCCTGAAGTTTTCTTCCTCATGAGATTGAAGAAATCATTACGACTTTGGACTTGAGATGTGGTGGGTCTCTTCTCCACAGCAGATCCATGGGTAAGAGATGAAGCAACAGACTTGCGCTCATTGGGAAGCTTTGAGTTGTTTGGGCTCCTCATAGGAGGAGCATATGCAGCTAATGGAGCAAGGACGAGTGAGTTATTCACCACTTTGCTAGCGTTTGTTGGACTCAATCCATCCTTGGCAGAAGGCGAGATACCATTCTTCTCCCTTGGAGCTTTCAGGACAAGAAGTTTCCCACCATGAGATGTCTTAGGAACATCAGATCTCACAGGTCCGCCACGTAAAGAGTGGTTGACAAGGTGAGATGATGGAAGTTGCTGCTGTTGAGAAGTCTTAGCAGAAATACCCATCTCCCCAGTTCTGACCACTGCCTTAGGTTTGGCTTTTTCAGAAGAATTCAGAGCCTGAAAAGAAAGGCATATAATAAGTCGTAGAAGATTAAATCTAACATGCAACAAGCACAATTAGTTTCAACCATCATGATAATGTACAACCAAACAGAAAAGATAAACCATCAAGATTCACCTGCATATCAAGAATCATCAATATTGCAGCCAAGCAGTGGTTATCAAGAGCATTAGCTTAAACTGCAAGCCTCAACATGAGTAAAAATCTATACAGCTACACAATCTGGTACCAATGCAGCCATGCAGTGTTTGTTGGCAAAACAACTGCCAAGTCATCCAAAAGATTGTCTGTCTACTACAAGGCTCTTAATACAAATCTATAACCTAAAGTTGATATGATATACCAAATTAGAACTTGTCTATCAGCCAGTTAACTACCCCACACCTTTCTGACACATTGACAAATTAATGCAATTCATCATGCCCAAAATAAAACAAACTATTCACCTTAGCACCTAAATAGGCATTCTTCAAACATCTTACAGCATACACAGTGTAAAGTTGGCAAGGCCACACTGTACAACCAAATAGATCATTACTTTGGTAATCTTACAGCATACAGTGTAAAGTTGGTAAGGCCACAATGTACAACCAGCAGATCATTATGTAAGTAAAGAACTTAAATCTTCAAACAAATTACAGATTATAGACAGTGACCAAGAAAGTGAACCATTTGATATATTAGTTACTAGATCATGAAATAATCAACAATGCAAGACTGCCAGAACAAGGGCAAAGCTCATACACAGATCAGTTTGGTTTGGTTTCACTTAATTGTGCCAACCAAACCAACACTACTGGGTTGACAATTGAGCTAAACTAAAACAACTGACAGACACCTAGAAGCAATTGTGATATTTGTTTTGCTTTTAGTTGGTTTAATTAGTTAACCAAACAGAAATGTTCCTTTGCATTTGTTACCCTTTAATAACTTCTATAGGGACAAGCTAGACAAGAGTTCAGTTCCGGTGCAACTCTGACCATCGTTGATTGAAATTTGAGAGGGACCAACCACTGGTCTCTTTGAGAACTTCTACACTTAAAAAATTTCAGTACTCAGTTAACTTTTTTTATTTTTTGTCTTTTTGAGTTTTGTGGGAAAAGGCACAAATAGGAAATTGGAAGAGAGAAGAGGACAGAGGAGGATAGCAGTCTAGGAGAGACTAGCTGTCAGCTGAAAAAGTGAAAAGTGAAAAGTGAAGTAACGAAAGAATAAATAAAGCAAACAAATAAACACACACACACACACAAGAGGTTAGGGCCGGTTTAGCTTCAGCTTGTTTAGAAAGTCATAACCTGCAACCCAACCGACTAGCAAGGTTCTACGATTAATGAAACCAAAACCAACTGACTTAATTGAAAACTGACCAAAAAGCCAGTTAGTTTGGTTTTTACCATTTGGTGAACAGCCCCAGGAAAAACATAACTTAATAAATAAATTCCCCTCAAAGGACCTTAACCTCAAAAGTATCTCATGTGCTATCTGCATATTTAACGAGCATAAAAAATGTTTGCCTCATAACAAAGCTGACTACAACCTAATCAATTATCTAGACTCCCAAGTAGAAGTAACTATAACATGTACACCATTTCGTACAATAGCTGTCAAGGCAATGCCTAGGCAACCCCCGGGCAATAAGGCGACCATGGAGGGTCGCCTCACCCAAATGCCTACATATTTATATGTAAGACACCACATAATATTTTTATATTTTATTTATGATATTAATAGTAGTACGATAGAATTTATTAGAGCAAATTATTCATATTGTGGGTTTATAGTATTAATATTATTATTCTTATTCCAGTTTCTTTTTTATCATTTTCTTATTTGTTTGGATTCAATCAACACAAGTCAATGACAAAGTCTTGAACCCTTTTTTGATGAATAGGTGGTATCGACCCTTATATTTTGTATCTTGAACCCTTTAAGACTATAAAACCTGAACTGATAAGAAACAACTTGAAGATTTTATCCAATTGACATGTAAGAAAAATCAATAGGACTTCTTCATCTTCTTCCTAGGACCAAATAAGGACTCGGCCTTCTTTTTATGAATAGGTGGTATCAGCCCTTATTTCATTCCTTTCTTATCTTCCTCATCATAAATATGTTGATTTCCTGTCTTTCGATATGGAGTTTATACTTATTTCATGAAGATTATGATAATTAAAAGTTAAAGATAACTGGTTATTACTATGAAACCTAGGGAACTACCTTAAAATTTATATTTTATTCTTAAAAATCATCGCTTAGGCAACACCTAGGCGACTAGGCACTCCCCTGTCACCTAGCTTTGTCGTGGCACCTTGAAAACTATGTTCACTACAAACTATTTTAGATTATTTTACATTCACACTTTGAGCCCATCATTCCTGTCTATTTGAAATCGTAGTAATTGATTAGGATCCTGCCCAATAGGCCAGACCCTGAATGATTTTAGTACCTAATTAAGGGGTAAAGCCCAGCCTGACCTGCATCCCAGGCCTGATAGCTAAAGCCAGGTTTCCAGCCTTAAAACAATCTTAAATATTATAAATAATAATTTTTATAATTAATATTTTATTATATAACAAATGTAATATGCTATGATTAATACCACACAAAATATTGTAGATATTAGATAATATGCATTTATTTTTTGAATATGTAATATGTATTTACACACATGTAGATTTTTTTATGATAAATGAGTAAAACTTTTATTAATCCAACAGATAAATAAGAGGTACAGGCAACCAAAGGAAAGGCACGAGATACGACCTTGCCTTTATGATCAAAGAATCACAGTTTCAAAAGAAACATGAATTATAAGGAAGCCCAAAATAATGAATCCTGAGAAACCCCCTGTTTAACAAGTGAGTCAGCCATCGAGTTTGCTGATATGCACACCCACTGAACTCTTACTGTCATATTCCTTGTTAGCCATTTGACTTGTTTAAGGAGGTCTCTATAGCCCCATACCACAGAAACCAGATTCAGCAACCATCCAACAACCACCTGAGAGTCCCCTTCAATAAGCAGATGTTCTATCCCTAGCTGGTTTGTAAGCTGGATTCATTGTACAACAACTAACAATTCAGCCCTTGTAGAGTCTCCCAAACTCACTGGATCTGAATATACAGAGATGATGCTACTGTCTTTATTTCTCAGAACTCCTATGTCCGATGATCCAGGGTTACCCTGGCTACTCCCATCAAAGTTCGGCTTAATAAAATCCTCCCCAGGTGGCATCCACTCTACCATAAATTCGTCCTTCCTAGTAGAAACATTAGCCACTGCTAACCAACTCCTCCAAAGATCATCAAAGGAGTAGGTATCAATAAGGTTTAATGCTTTCAGCCACTGAATTGCCCTTGTCAGAGCACTATCTTTAACTTCCAAAAAGCTACTTTCCTTTTCTGAGACAGAAGGGAAGGTAAATGTATTAAAAAGAAAAAGGAGAAGAGAGGAATGTACAACCAAAGGCTCATCCAGAGAACCAAACACACGAAAGCTACTAGAAAGGCCCACATCTGAGTTCACTAACACCAAGTGCAGCTAAAGACGGGTCAAGAGAAAGAAAAGCAAAAGAAATTAATAAACCCCACCAAAAACAAAACAAGGATGTGTGTGTGTGCATATTCCTTTCCAGACCTGGACACAAAACCTAGGCCCAAGCCCAATGATTTAAAAGGCGCGCCTAGGCACACAGGCGAGGCGCATTTTGGGGTATGTGCTTTGCCCAGGCCCTAGGCGCACCCCTTTCAAAAGGCTCACACCTAGTGCACCTGATGTGCCTTGCGCCTCAGCCCAGGCGTGCACCTTTTTAAAATTTTGCGCTTTTTGCTTTGTTTTTGGTCTAACAGGTGGGTCGGGGCTCCACTCCGGTTTGATCACTCACTGAAGCTCTGAGAAACCCTATTTGCTAATGTTGTTCATTCATTCATTGCAATAAAATATCTTCTTAAAAGGCAATGAAAGTTACAAAATCATTATTTTTTATGTGAGAAATAAGAATTTCGGACCCTAACATAGACTTGTTCGGGCTTGCCTTGAGGTGTGTGGTACAAAGGGGACTCATAGAATCAAGAATGCAATATGTTTAAAGTCACATTAGCTACTTGAAGCAATGCAATTAAGGAAAAAAAATAGATTGTGGGTTTACATGCTTGAAAATGATTTATATATTTGCTTTTGTCACATTTAAGTTTATATTTTTTTATTAACATTATGTTTAATATTTTTTGCATTTTTTTTATTTTTGGCTTTTTTGAATTTTCTCACTTTTTTTATTTTTTAGCTTTTTTTTGAATTTTGCGCCTTACTTAAAAAGGTGCGCACCTCGCCTTGCGCCTCATGCACAAATTGGCCCTTGCGCTTTTTTTGCACCTTGTGCTTTTAAAACACTGCCCAAGCCAAGAACCTTGCAAGCAAGGTCGGGCCAAGCTAGAAATGTTCACCCCTGGTGCATATGATTTTCTTTGAACGTATATAACATTTCCATGTGTACCAAACGAACAATATGCATATCCATATGGCTTTCTTTGAACATATATAACATTCCAAGTGTACCAAAACAGATAATACCTACTTCAAAAAATAACTTATTTTTTGAGACAATACAAAAATGCATTGATGAACAAAACAATGGTAAGCTACAATAATAGAACGTTAAGAGAAAATAGGACAAAACAACAAACTGGATTGAATAAAGTGGATACATCATCATTTAAACCTAAAAAACGGAGAGAGAGAGAGAGAAGAAAAAAATCATCCGAGAGAGAGAAAGAAGAGGTGGTAAGAAATCATCTGAGAAGAGAAAACAAAAATAACCCAACAACCAATTTTCAACAGAAACCACAAAAACCTGGAAAGCCCCCTCCCCCAAAAAAAAGACAACACAAAATGTACATTTGAGCACAAACAGGGTAATGGTAAACCCTTAGCACAAACCAGCAAAAAACATCTTATACACAACTGGTGAGTCCAAAAAGGAAATGCCGAGCAAAGCCTG